AGAAATTTATGTATAGAATACCAAATTTTATATAAATATATTTTCTGACACAACAAATTATTTCTCACAATTTAATTTAAATTTTTTTTTTGTAATGTTTATATTTTTTACAACTGTGGTTGTGTTCTAGCTATTTAATTTAATTTTTTTTTTGTAAAATTATTCTTTATTATAATTTTAACTTAATTGAATTTAAGTAAATGATTTTTTATTAAATAAAATGTTTATTAAGACACTAAAAATTTTGAAATCACAAATTTCACCTCCGCCCTCTGTCAGTGTAATAGTCATTAACACCAATATTGTTGATGTCAACTATGGGCAACAATGTATCATTTGACATTAATACCGACTTGCTCGCTCACTATTGTCAATGAAGTTGATGCACATCATTGACACAAATAGTGATACACATTATTGCTAAAAAGTTGAAACCCGTTATTTTGAATACCTTCTCCGATTGCAACAAATGACATCATTTATCAATTATGTAATTCACTAGCAGAATCATTTCAACTGATTAGCCTGACTTTATTGCTTTTATTCTCATGTTGCTATGTAAACATTCTTATGTCTCGGATGGTTGTTATAAACTTATGTATGTATGTTGAATCTTCGTACAAATTCTAAGATAATAAACGATATTTTCTTTCTATTGAAAATTCTCTAGCATGTGTTGATAAACATAAAATGTTCTTGTTGAGTGTCTAAAGATAAATGACGGTAGAGTAATATTAAATGTTTTATCGTTGCACGAAAGTCCAACATATAGAAATAATTGAAAAGTAGTGAAATAAGATATCAAGCTTTTTTTTGTTGAAAAGTCCTAGAAAGAAAAAAAATCAAAGGGCTAGCTTGGTCAAAGTAATCTATTATATGACTGTAACTACATATGTCCACTATTTTTCTGAATTTGAGAAGATGAAATTACAATGTTGATAATTATATTTATACAATAATAGTTCAATTATAATTGTCATAATTGAGCTACAACAAATATGATTCTTCGTTGTAATAATAATAGTTAGCTGTAAAAGACATAGTTGGTAACTACAATTGTGTTGGTTGGCCATAAAGGCCATAATTGAGCATTTTGATAATAATTGGCTACATAGACAGTAGTTGGTAGCTGCAACAATATTAGTTGGTCATAAAAGTCATAATTGGAAGTTATAATAACATTAGTTAGCCATAAAAGCTGCAGTAGTAATTAACCACTTAGGCCATATTTGATAACTGCAGTAGCAATTAACTGACCACAAAGACTGCAGTTTGAAACTACAATAGTAGTTAGACACAAAGATCAATGTTGGTCATATAGCTCATAGTTCGTAGCCACAGTAGCATTAGTTGGCCAAGAAGGCTATAATTAAAAACCGTAGTAACATTTAGTTATATATGTTATAGTTGGTCACATTAGCTATAGTTGGCCACATAGGTTATTGTTGGTAGTTGTATCAATGATTAGTTGGCCACAAGGTTGTTATTGAAAACTGCAATAGCGATTAGCCATATAGGTTGTAGTTGGTACATTAGCTATCGTTGGTAGTTATAGAAGCAGTCAGTTGTCCACAAAGGACGTAGCTGGAAGCTGCAGTAGTAGTTAGCTACATTGGCCATATTTGGTAGATGTAGTAACAGTTAGTTGGCAACCGAAACTATAGTTGGTAGCTGAACTATCGTTAGTTGGCCATACATCTCATAATTAGAAATTACACTGGCAGTTAACCATCTAGGTCATAGTTGGTCACATAATTATAATTAGTAGCTCCACTAACAATTAGTTGACCATAGAGGTCGTAGATAAAAGTTGCGGTAACAGTTAGCCACATAGGTCATAGTTGATCACATTGATCGTAGTTAGTAGTTGTAATAACGTTAATTGGCTAGAGAGGCTGAAGTTGGAAGCTGCAGTAAGATTTAGCTGCATAAGCTATAGTTGGTCACATAAACTGTAGTTAGTAGTTGTAGTTGCGTCAACCAATCATAAATGTCATAGTTGGATGATGCAGTAGCGCCATTTAGCCACATAGGCCATAATGGAAAGCTTGAATAGTAACTGTCATAGAAACCGTAGTTGGAATTTCACTAGTTGGTGGCTGCCACCCTTCTCTCGGGTTTATTATTACATTAGAGATAACACTTTCGGATATACAACATATTAAAAAAGTTTAGGGGTCCGAATAAGTTATCACATTCTGAATGCGGCAATTATAAACAATTGTCGCCAGATCTTCACTATGATATTATTCATTTACATTATCGTTAAGATATGTTAATACACTTTATTTGGGATACATTGTTAGCAAGAAAAGTTCACCAACGGTGGTAAGGAGAGACAATCAATAGTGATCGGCGTCGGTCGAAGGAGTTATTTTTGGGTCTTCAATCAAGAACACACTGGAATTTGACTCACTTTCTCTTTCTCAAGTAAATAGGGGGGTCCATTTATAGCACCTAAGGGAGGTGCATTTTTGTCATTCAATGAATAACTTCAATAACCACTCGATCAGATGAAAATTATTGATCCTCCTTGATCAAAGAGCTTTTTTTAATGATTTAAAAGCCTTAATGACTCCATAATTAAGTGAGCTTAGACTCGTTGGTTTTCCTTGTCCAGACGCTCGATTTGACTATAAGTATCTCGAATCTAAAATTCATTTGGTCATCCAATTGATGAATTGAAGCCTCCAATGAACTGATATGAATTTCATTAGACTCGAATTGAACCAATTTTAGCATCATCAAGTTGATTTTGTCAAGATGATCAGGCTGACTATAATCTTTTTTAAATTAGGACCCTGAATAATTATTAATTTAAATTTGGAATATTTCTTATTAAAAAATATCTCGAGATTCATGCATAATGATAAAATTTATTAATGATGTATCAATTCAATATATCATTTACTTTGGAAGCCCATTAAGTTTTGTATATCGGAATCAACATTTTCATTTTAGATACCAATCCAAATATAAATAACAAATAATCAAACATTTTTTGCACTTAAATTCCAATTAAAAGTTTTAGAAGGTTATGTTTGGCTATAATTTGCAATTTCAGAAATGATTTGGACATTTGGGAAAGAAAGGGTTTTTCAGCTTACTCATTCATAAATATAACTCCATTTTTATTTTTAAAAAACTGATTACATCTTAATGAAAATTAAATGATTCTGATTAAATTCAAATTGGGCATGATTTGGATTAAGTAAAGCTTAATTAGTTTGTTTAAATTATCTTCAGCTAGAGGCAACAACAAATCAGACACTCCTTAATATTATCTAACACTATATTAAGCAAATTTCATTAATACATCATCTAGATAGTGATGCAATTTGCATTCCATTATTTATAATTAACCTATATTTAATAAAATTACATGCTGACCCCCCGGAAACTTGCTATTTACAAATTAACCACCTTCTTTCATCTAATTTTCAAATTCTCGCTCAAATATCAAAATTTATGGTAAAGCCCCAACCCTTATTTTATTTTTATTTTTATTAAATTCTAATTGTGGTGCGCGTAAGCACATTGGCTCGGTAGTTCAAAAGAATCACTCAGGTGGTTGATTTGTAATATAAATATTTCAGGTGGTCTGCATGTAATTGTCCCATAAAATTAATGTTATAATTTTTTCATATTATATATATTGTATGAAATAAAATTATTATGTATGTATATATATATATACACACCAGAAATGCCAACATGAATCTCAAAATCATTTAGCAGGTCAAATGGAGGTCAAGCAAGTTGAGCATCCTACCACGCTAACACCGTCTGGGCAAGGAAAATTTGACCAGCCTCCCACGATAGGAGACTAACTAACGACGGACCACGCTCATGGCCCCAATTGACTAGAACACACGTAGGAGCGCCTGACCACAACAGATTGGTCGATCCACGACAAAAGAGATCGACGGCGGTCGAGCACTTTGACAGACCGATATGTACATTGGAGGGCACAATCGCCACTCGGCCAGTCTCAGTGGGCCGACGTCAAGCCAGTCGGCCAGCCGATCACCGCCATAATTAAAACTCAAATAGTGATGCAAATATGACATAATATCCATACAAATAATTAGTGATTTAATCACCTTAAGAATAATTTTCATACTTGTTTCATTCTTTTCATAATTGTCCAAAATGCATTCTTATAAATAGGGAACAAAAAATACGAATAATAATATATATATATATATATATATATATATATATATATATAACTTATGAAATAATCTAGAAATTAACTTTATGAGCAGAATGATTACTTTCTCGACGCATAGAAGTCCATAAATCACTCCAAGCATTAATAGATTATTAGATATAATCAACAACTGATTTGTTTAATCATAATTAAATTTTCAAGATCAAGCTCATCTAATCATAATTAAATTTTAGGGATAATCACGTACAGGCCGCCCACAACTGTGATATTTACAAATTAATCAACTAAGTGTTTTCCGTTAAATATCAAATCGATGTATTTATGTGTGTCTCAATTAAATTATTTAGAATTTAATAAAAATAAAAATAAATATGAATTAAAATTTTATCATAAATTTTAATATTTGAGTGAGAATTTAAAAATGGATGATAAAGAGTGATTAATTCGTAATTATTAAAAAATCATAATATTTGAAAATGGTTGGCCGTGCCCCTAATTTTTAATAATTTTAAAAATTATATGGTCTTAAATCCAATTAATTTAAGCATATTAAAAAAATAATCTTAAACTCAAGACATCTTAGCCCCAGTCATCTGTCACGGACAAAAAATCTCATATCATCTAAGTGTAGGACTGAAGAACAGTATTTAAGTTCTGACTGTTCATTTCTTTTAAGAGCTCTTTTGAGAGATGATTACGGAGAATTGAGGCAATTTAGAATTTATTTTTTAAAATGATGTTACAGGGCTTAAGAATATTAATAAACCAAAAAAAAAAAAAATTAAAAAAAAAATAAAAACCTGTAGGGTAACAGATTTGGGGGCTGTGGACTGAAGCGGCATATGCGGCTTTTTGTACTGATTTCTCAGAAATTAATTTTCTCTCTCTAAAAAATGTAGAGAGAGAGAGAGAGAGAGAGAGAAGGCAGGAGAATCTCCACATCCGCCATTATTTGGGAAGAAGAGAATGAGTGAACTGAAAGAATAAAAGGAGAGAGAGAGAGAGAGGGGGAAGAAGAGATGAAGTTACTGTGGCTTCACACAATAGACAATAAAGGAAACAGGGAGAAGAAAACAATGGAGGGCGAGAGAGGTTGGAATTAGTAACAAGGCCGGATGACGACAAATTTCGTGTTACAGTTCTTCGAAAGAGATTTTATTATCTCGTATCTCTCTGTCTCTCTCCTTCCCCTGGCCCAGGAGATTGAGATATCGCAATCTGATGACGATCTCAAGTCGCTTTTCTTTCGGAACGGCAAGATTCTTCCAAACATTTCGACCAGGGTGCGTTGATGTGGTCTTCAATCGCCTAATTTTTTCTTTGTGGTAATTGCGGTACTGTGGGTTTGTTGTCCTTTCTTCTGTTGGCTAGAATGGATTGGACATCGTTGATCTCTATGGTAGAAGGAGGATGCGGACTATTGTGTTTTCTTGGTTTTGGTCAAGGTATCGAATCGGATGCTGCGGGCTCTGAGTACAGTTAGAGGATCTGGTTGAGGTAATTTGAGGGTTTTGATTCTTCGCTTTCCTGATTTTAATGCTTATGAGTCATGAGGTTCTGTTTTGGGTTTTGATGGGTTTTTTTATGGCTTTCCTGGATTTGGAGTTTAGGAGCGATTTGAGTTGTTTGGTGTTAAGTGCGGACTTTCTTGGCGGGCTGTTGACTGAATTTTGATGGATTATAACATATTTAGCTTGTTGATTCTCTTGTTTGTTGAATTTCGATTTTTTTTTTCTCAGAGCGTAATTATCTGTAGTTGAGCCATCGTGGGTGTTTCGATGGAAATTCAGTTTCAGGTCACTTTGTTTTTGGTCTTTTCATTTGTCTGGAATTCGGATTTGGAAGTTGACATCTAGATTTGCATGTTTTGCGATAAGAACCTATGAAATAGGTCTTTTGATCAAGCATGGATCTTCTACCAAATAAGTCTTTTATCCCAAAGAGTTGATTTTGTTTGTTATAAGCTCATCTACTCTTTCATAAAGTTTTTCTCTAAGATCTAAGTTGTTTTTCTTAAACCCATTTACTAGAATTAGCGGAGGTCGTTAATTCAACTTTAATTTTTTATTTTTACGATAATATCTATTGAATTTTAATTTGGACATATTTGCTATCATATGAGCGGCTGATGTGGCATCATTTTAGGAATTCATCTTTTATAATGTTGGGAACAATACTCTCTGCATTGATGGTTTGTTCAATATTCTTAGGAATGAGTACGTGATTGAAGAAATTTAAGTGTAATTTGCTCTGTATTAGCGCTCTTGAATATCACCAATTGTCGCCAATTATTGCAAGTATTTGTAAGAATTTTTATTGTCTTGTAAATTATAATATTTTTTGTATATCTCTTAGATTCTAAGCCTTTCTGTTGATTTTCATCTGTTCTTTTTTAAAATTGTGGTTCATCTGAGACTTATGGTGTGGCATGCATTTTTCAAGTTTATTTTCTCCACTTTAGAGCCTGCAGAGTTGGATTAATTGCTATAGATTTATATTTCAGTGATGAATGGTTTCCTTATTTCATTAGATCTCTTAAATGATGAAAAATGGTTGCATATGCAGAGTTTAATGTTAAATCTCTACAAATTGTTGTTTCCTAATTGATTGGCTCATCTCATTACTTTCAACCATTTTAGCTTCATGTGATATTATTCAATTAGTTATTTGTGTCACTTGGATTAACTTGTTATTGGAAAGTGTTCTCTTAAAAGAGAAGAGTCAAAATAATCGCTGACTCTGTGCAGGGGACCATTTTAGTTCCAGAGTTCATAAAAGTGTCATTTTAGTTCTAAGACTCTTTTAATATTGGCTGAAATAGTTTTCTGTAAGGACTATTTTGGCTCCCATTAAAATTGTCTGGAGACTATTTATTGGGACTAAAATGGCCTAATGCAAAAAGTCAGGGGACTATGTTGTCATTTTAATCATTCTCTTAATTATTTTTTTGACTTTCTGAATGCATTACCCTTTGCTCATTTTTTTGATGGCATCATGCTTTTAAACATTTATTTAACTTTGAACTTGCATTTTTAAATATTTAGATTATCTTGAGAGCACAACTGGTCTAAGCAGAAATGGTTAAGGGCATTGCCTTCAGAAGCACTTGGTTTGAGATTATGTTAAAGATACCTTAGTTGTTTGGGTCAAGATACTCAGTGATTGTCATTGCTAAGGGCAGTTTCCCTACGGGGCAACTTGGGATCACTTCTATTTTATTATTTTTTTTATTTTGATTCCGTTATATTTATGATTTTTACGTGAAATAAAAGATATTTGATATGTTATAACATGTTTAGTTATTTTTAAAAGCACTTGAAATAATTTTTAAATGTTTGAAGTATTTTTAAAAACAAGCTATTCTATTTTTGATAATAGAAAATAAAATCATATAAAAAATGCGATAAATTAATCTATTTTTAAAAACAAGCTAATCTATTTTTGAAATGGAAAATAAAATCATATAAAAAATGTGATAAACTAACATGTTTTTAAAATAAGAGGAAAAAAATAGATGTTATTCCAAACAAGCCTTAAGGGGCTGCTTGAGATCACTTTTATTTTTTATATTTTATTTGATGATGTTTTGATTTGAAACAAAGTATATTTGGCTATTTAATTAAAGTATAGCTATTTTTAAAAACACTCAAAATGCCTCAAAATTATTTTGAGTACATTCAAAAATATTATATTTTTTTAAGCAAAAAAATAAAAAACATGTAAAAAACACATTAAAAAAAAACTAATTGCTTCTGAACAAGCCCCAACTTTTTTAATTCATTTCAATTGGGACACTTTCGATCAAATCCAGCTTCTTTTTCCAAAAGAATTCCAGCTTTGTTGGGCTTGATTCCAGCTATCCGGAGTGAAATGCAGATTTGTTATGGGATAATTGCACCATCCAACTATTATAGTGATTGGAAATTTAATGTCCTTTTTGTTCAGTAGCCTTGATATTCTTTTTGTTTTTTTCATTTGGTTTCAAGTACTATAGTTTATTATTGTATTCAATATTGTTTTGGGGGATTTATATACACATCACATAATCTTTTGGTTTTGCCAAATCTAACAACTTAAGTTTGCTATTTACTTATGTAATAGTCAAATTTTTAAATCACTTAAATATACCACTAATATTAACTTCTTTGAAGTGAAATGTATATTTTCATGCATATATTTTGATTTGATTGCGACACTAAATTGTTATATGAATAAATGTAATAGTTTTTCTATTAGATGCATAAATACTTAAATTGTGTGGTATTTATTTAAATGCTCCTATTATTTTTCATCATTAATTTTGATATTTCATCTCCAGATGAGTATTCTACTACTAAACATCTTTTAAGGCTATCATCATTTAACCATGAAACTTCTAATTCAGTTTGAATATGATAACAAGTGATTTTGTAATTTCTAATTGTTTTTTTCTTTAACTTAGCACTATCATTTTCATTAGTCTTCTAAGTTCTGCAAAATAGATGAGCCTGTTTTTTTTCTGAATTGTTCAACTATGTTAAGATTAATTTCCATGTATTGGGTATATTATAAAGCAGTAAATCGTGTGTAAATTCATCTTGTAAGCAAGAAATGCTTTGGCTGGATGCATGTTTGAAGGCAGTGCCAGCAACTCGTTGACTTGGTCATCTTTTTACTTTTTCAGCTTCTTTGCTGATAATCAATTTAACAGGTTCAAAAGAGAAACTCAGGATTTATTTTAGAAGGATGTTAAGCAGGTATTTGTTTAGTCAATTGTGCCAAAAAATTTAGGAACTGCTAGACTAACAAAATGCAACTTTACGCTCTTAAACAGCAAAGACAAGGATTGAAAGAAAGTCGTGATATTACATTGCTCTCTTATAAATCTGTGTCCATAAATGGTTGTTTTAGCATTTTGTGATATATAATTCCGGGCTGTCAAGCTTAGTTGATTCAATTTTGTTGAACTAATGTGGTTTCTTTTCGATGGTTGAAAACCTTGGTCCATTTGAACTGAGTGATTTGAATCAATAAAGGGCTTCATTTAGCTTTATGTGACACATAATTTATTCAGATCTGTTTGACTCATAAAGTTGCTTCATATTTGTTGTAATCCTTGGTACTGTTAAACTTACTGAGTGGATTTCTTTATCATTTCATGAGCTTGGCTATAATAGTTTTCCATCTTGAAAGTGTTTGTATATGCAATATAAGTAGCACAGATACTTCATTGTTTAGAACTAACCAGCATTCCTTTTATTTTGGGTGCCAAACCTAATCCTGGAATACAATGAACATTTTAACTTTTTGTAATTAAGAGAAGTTTTCGCATGTTAAATACTATGCACCTTAACATCAACATGTCCATTCAGAGTCCCAAATCAGCACTTCATGTTAAATTAAATTCACGGATCATTTTCTAAAAGAACTTCTCGCACTACTTCATTTATCCTTTGTTTCCTTTTGTTATCTTTGACTTGAAAACTTTTGGAATTTTCTGATTAATTCTTTTTGTACATCATTCTCAAAAAATGGCAGGGATGGGAACAAAAGTCCATTTCAGAAGTTACTCTCCAAGGTATGATAAAATGAGAGATCTCAATGCAAATGCGGGCAATAACTGGTCTTCATTCTATATCAATAAGACGCTCAATGAGGATCTCCACAATGGTTGCTGTCCGAGTCCTTCAGCTGGATATTCTGAATATGATAAAGAAATGCTAAAGAGGACTATGCTTGAACATGAAGCCATATTCAGAAAACAGGTGTGTCCATGCTTACCTTTTTGTGTATAATATAAATTTTAACACTTTTGCTACTTAAAGAAATAATTGCTCAAAGGCTCGTTTTAATTATTAATGACTTGGGTTTATATAGAGCCTTACAACATTCTTACAAATAGCCCCTAGATTTCTTGTTGATTTTTGTATCTAATGTAGGGTCCTATTTGTAAATAGATGGAGTCTAGGAATTTATTTATAAATGTTGTAACTTGTAAGGATCTATATAAGCCCGTCATCAATTAAATGAAACAGGTTTTTTTGGAGGAAATAGTTTCAATTTGGTATTAGAGCCTCAACCCTCTTGTGCTCGATAGGTCATGACGAAGGCTTCAGTGACTTGAGATGACGACGACGTGCGAAGGAACGAAGTCGTACGATGGAACGACGACAAATTTGGGCAAGGCAGAGCAGAGAAGGAAAGATGGTGCTACTCTTTTGTGTGCTACATTCCCTTTATCGGTCACGAGTGGATTGGCGAAGAGGCAGCGGTTGTGGGCTAAGGGAGCATGGGTCGCGCGTGAATAGGGAAGAATGATGTTGCAGCTTCTGCGCAGGGTGGCTCAAGCGGCTTGGGCGCAACTTCATTGCAAGTGAGGCATGACAGTACAGAAAGGTAGCGCTGGTGAGAAAAGCTTGGTCGTGCGGAACGTCGAAGAAATTGCGACGTGATCTAAATCGAAGGATACAATCACAATTAGAGCTAGCTGAGAAGGCAACAATGAGTTTGCTACATACGAAATAGTGGAATTGTGGCTCGGGAGTTTGGAAGGTAGCGGTGCAGGGCTTTATTTCTGAAGTTTCACTCGATGATAGGGAGGCGAAGAATCAAAGTGGCTACAGTTTTGTGTGCGGGACATAGAGGCTGCGACTCTGTGTGGGTCAAAGAAAAACGGATTGCACGAATCTGCAAAAAGAAAGTCACATGTGTTCAGTGTGTTCTAGATTTATTCCTGTGATTGAGGATGTCAGGAGATGTGGCGTGTGGGAGGTAAAGAATTGAAACTTTTGGAAAAGATAGACCCTGAAGTTCTGAAGGTCTTAGTCGGGCTCGTACAGTGAGCTAATTCCTGTGGATCTAAAGCTCGATGGACCAACCACATATTCGAGTTGGTCGCGTAGGATCGATGCCGCTCTAGTAGGGAAGAGACAAGAAGGATACCTGATGGGAGTCCAGCTAAAGAGTGGCAATGTTGAAGGGGATGAGTGGAGGACCACACATGCATTGATTTACACCTAGCTACTCAATTTGATGGCTTTATCATTGGATGACATTTGAAAGGTGAACGACATCTGGGCAAAGCTAAAGAAGACCTTTGTTGGAGTTGAGAATCACATGAGGGTGTTCTAGATTTAGTATGAGATATAGAGAGTGGTTCAGGGTGATAGATCGATTCAGGAGTACTCCATAGAGATGGAGAGGCTTTGACAAGATTTTGATCACTTCTCACATAGATCTCCCTCCAACAAGGAGGTATATATGGAGATACCACTAGGAGTCAGTACATCCCAGCAGTAGTCAAGGTGTGTAGGCTTAGAAAGTCACTCCATGACTTGAAGCAGTTTCCTGGAGCCTGGTTTGAAAAGTTTAGAATGTTGATGGTTGACATGAGATATCAACAAAATAAATGCAGACCAAATGATATTTTTTCTACATCATGAAGGTCTCACTATCATATTATTGTGTATATGGATGACATAATTATCACTGGCAATGATGAGACAAAGATTACTCAACTGAATGGAAGATTAGGAAAATAATTTGAGGTGAATAATCTGGGTCAACTCAGAGTGGCACATGGACCTGAGGTGATGGTCTTATCCTAAAGAAAGTATGCACTAGATCTTCTCATGGAAACATGTATGCAGGGGTACAAACCTGCAGTCTCTCCAATTGATCAGAATGTTAAACTCAATATAGAGGAAGGTGAATTGGTAGATCGTGAGAGGTACCGCCTGATCTATTTGGGTCACATTCGACCTATTATTTTGCTTTTGCAATAAGTGTGGTGAGCCACTACATGCATGATCTGAGGAAGGGCCATATGGATACATCGTATCCGATTTTGAGGCATCTGAAGGGTGCACCAGGGAAAGGGTTGATATTCAGGAAGAATGAGCATGTAGATATTGAGGGTTTTTGTGGTTCTGACTGGGCAAGTTGTGTTGATGATAGACGATCCACATCGGGATACTGCATGTTTGTAGGCAACAACTCGGTCTCATGGAAGAGCAAGAAATAGTCAGTTGTAGCAAGATCAACAGCAAAAGGAGAGTATACCATCATGTCCTTCAGAGTTGCCGAGATGATGTGGCTGAGTACTTTATTGGTAGAGCTCAAGGTGGACTAAAGATCTCAAATGAAGTTTTGGTGTGACAACAAGTTAGCGATCAATATCACCAACAACCCGATGCAACATGATAGAACCAAACATGTCGAGATTGATAGGTTTTCATCAAGGAAAAGCTGAATAAGGGACTTCTGGACCTATAAGTCTTGTAGCTACTAGAGAGCAAGTGATTGATTGCCTCATCAAAGGACTTACTCATTAGATTTGTCTAGATTATGTGACAAGATGAGCTTAGTGAATACTTTTGCCCATCTTGAGGGGCAGTGATGAGCTTAGTGAATACTATTCCTTGCATCAATTGTTGATTAGAGATAGTTAATGAACTTAAGTTTGATTTGTGTTTGGGCAGCTTTGTTGAATGATATGGGTGATCAAAGGATGTATATAGCACTGTGAGAGAATAGTGTGCGTATTGGTTTTGCTAGAAGAGTACATAAGATTGAATATATGAGAGAATAACTTTAGTATCTTTTCCATTGTTTTGTTTGTGAGTTGATAAATATATTGGATAACTCTGCATTATAAGGAAATCATTTAATTAAGGGTTTTAAATTCAAATGATGAAAATTAATTACAAGAAAATGGATACATTAACTGAAGGATGACAATACTTGAGGGAATTCAAAATTCAAAAGGATTCCAAATGATTGTAGGAAGTAAATGCTATAATTAATATTTATTTCTTATCAGGATTTGATGCTTAGTAATATTTGGGACTGTTGTGATAATTCAAAGGGCCTCCTGTATTTCTCTTTCTTGATGATCTTTGTCTTCTTTCCAGCATGGAGCTTATAGGAAATGTGCGGGATAAAACAAAATTAACTGTAGAAACCAAAATCAAAGTGTGGTTCAAACCAAGCGGGATAAAGCAAAATTAACTGTAGAAACTAAAATCAAAGTGTGGTTCAAACCTAAGAGTCTGGAGTTTGGTGCATAATGGGGTACTACGTCTGTGATATTTCTAACTTGGCTACAAATTACCTTGTAAGGGAAGATTATCCTCTTTTATTAGTCTATCATAGAGACTATTTTAATGGAAGATGGGATCCTGGGCATGAGTGGCTATGCAATGGCTCAGCTTGCGATGTCAACCGAGGTAAGTGGAGCAAATGCTACCACTGTATCAGTGCTCTTAGAGGAGTAAATACCTTATACATTTTTTATATTTTCAAATGTGCTTTGTACTGCTTGAGAATTTGGTTTCAACAGTTCTACAAGTATACTTCTTAGGTTATTAATCATAATTTTTTAAATAGCTATTCTCACAAAGGGAAAATTTCGCTTCTCTTTATAGAACCAAGACGTGGACTATTTTGTTATGCTAATTATTAGATCCTTGGTTTTTTTTTTTTTTGTACATAATCACCATGGTCTTGCTATTTTTTGTGATCCAGGTCTATGAACTTCACCGTCTTTACGGCATACAGAAGGATCTGATGGAGGAGCTTCAAAAGAATGGTTTATCTGGGGCACATAGAGTCCCATCAAAAACAATTTTTGGTTCTTCTCAATTTCAATCTGATTATGCCACAGGGATGTGTCATATGTCTCATCTATGCGCCGTGAATAACTGTCATAAAATGGAAAAACTGAGATACAATGATGATATTATTTATACCCTCAATTTTCCTAAAAGTAATCTGCAATCTTCTTCAGGTATTTTTGAAACTGAGACCTTACAAAGAGTTTCTGGGACTGATGGAAGTTTTAGAAAATGTCCTAAGAGAATGCTTGATTTTCGATTTCCCGCTGGTGCATATATTGATTATACAGAAAAATCAGAGGAAATTCCTAGTTCATATTCTATAAACACAAGTAATTGTTCTAGAATCTGCACTGGAGATTCTGAGATTGAATTGAAGCTTAATTTAGATAGTATTAGTGGTTCATCTGGAAAAGAAGATGTTCGCAAATTGAATCATTTTTACAACAAGAAACTTTGCACTGGCTTAGCTGTTTCAAATAAACCTAACAGTCAAACATCTTTGGAGGGTGGACCTAATTCATTTCCTGTTATGGTTTCTCGGTCAAAAATTCAGGCGGAAGATAATCACAGGCTCAACTTTCCTTTGAGCTCATCCACATTGAGCCTGCGAAATGCATTTGCCAATGATGGGGATAGTAGTGAATGGATTTTCTCTAATGGTTTTCAAGGAGTGAAGGAGGAAATAAGTAGAGGGGCTGTATTCCATAATGAAGCTGGTGAGACCTCAGTTAGCCTTGTGATTTTTTTGTTATGTTGATATTAGTTCGTTATTGTGATCAAAACTGATATTTTTTCTCTACTTTGTGAACTTTTTTATATTCCTTCAATCATGGTTAGAGGTGACAATTTGGTAGATGCGTTTCGCTTAATATATTTGTGTAGTGTTGCTACTTATACAACAACAACTACAAAGCCTTAAGCCCACTACGTGGGGTCGGCTACACGAATCATTTTTCTCCATTGCGTCCTATTTAGTGTCTTATTTTCATTTAGTTCTAATAAATTAAGATCTTTTTTTATACAATTAAGTCTTCTTAGGCCTACCTCTACCTTTCTTAACATAAGTTGAATCTAAAACATCTACTCTTCTAATCGGATCAGCAAATGGTCGACACTTAATGTGACCAAACCATCTAAGACAACTTTCTTTAATTTTGTTTGTCGCAAGAGCTTCACCTAACCTATCTCGGATTTATTCATTTCGCATTTTGTCTTTAAGTGTAAAGCCACTCATCCACCACTCATCCATCCAGCTAATCATTCTCATCTCGGCAACACTTAACTTATCATAATGCTTCTCTTTTAAAGGCCAACATTCAGTGCCATAGAGCACTGCAGGTCTCACCACCTTATAAAATTTTCATTTCAGTCTAAGCAGTACTTTTCAATCACACAAAAGGCCCGAAACATTCCTTCACTTCAACCAACCAACTTGAATTCTACTATTAACATCCCCATCTATATCACCATCGCTTTGAACAACAGACCCGAGATATCTAAATTATTCACCTTTTAATGATTTGATCACCCAAAGTTACACTTCTGTCACTAGAGTTACTACTACTAAAATTACATTCCATGTATTCAGTTTTAGTTCTACTAAAATGAAGGCTTTTAGACTCAAATATAGACCTCCATAATTCAAGTTTTTTCTAGGTTTTTTCTCTTGTCTTATCCACGAGAAGGATATCATCAGCAAAAAGCATACACCAAGGTACATCCTCCTGTAAATGTCCAGTAAGACCATCCATAACTAAAGCAAAAAGATATGGGCTTAAAGCTGATCCCTGATGTAATCCAACAAAAATCGGAAAATATTTTGTCAATCCTTCTTCAGTTTGAACACAAGTAACAGCTCTAGTATACACACCCTTAATGACTTGAATATAAGTCATATCAACACCTTTCTTCTCAAGAATTCTCCATAGGATATCTCTTGAAACCTTATTGTAAGCTTTTTCTAAATCAATAAAAATCAAATATAGATTCTCTTTATTATCTCCGAACTTCTACATCAAACCTGTCAATAAATGTATAACTTCCATAGTAAACCTGCCCGGCATAAATCCAAATTGATTATGAGAAATCTTTGTAATAAGTCTTAACTTATGTTCAATTACCCTCTCCTGTAATTTTAAAGTAAGCCATGTCAACTTAATTCCTCTATAATTTGCACACTCTTGGGCATACCCTTTATTCTTAAAAATGGGGACCAAAATACTCTTCCTCCACTCCTCAGGCATCTTTTTAGTTTTTAAAATAATATTAAAGGGTTTAGTAAGCCAAGTAACTCCCAAATCTCTTAAATATTTCCATACTTGAATTGGGATATCATCAGGTCCTACATACTTTCCTCCCTTGGTTTTTTTTAAAGCCTCCTCAACTTCTTTTTTTACTAATGCGACAGTAAAATTTAAACGCATTATTATTATTAACGATATTAAGATCACTAAGGTCAATCGTATTTTCAGAATTTTCATTAAAAAGTTTATCAAAATAACTCACTCACCTATGTTGAATATCTTTTTCTAAGAAAAGCACTTTTTGATTTTCATCTTTAATACACTTTACTTGAGTTAAATATTTACTTTTCTTTTCTCTTTGTTTGGCTTGTTTATACATATATTTTTCACCCTCCTAGTATCTCATCTATTATAAAGATCATTAAAAGCAGAATTTTTAACATCACTTTTAGTATCTAATATATTATAAATATAGATAAAAGCAGAATTTTCAGAAGGTGTGCTACTTATGTGATTCAAAAATGGTGGGCAATACTTCCGTGCAAATTATTAGGAATACATGGGAGAGAATGAGCATTACCCGCTAGAAGTCACTAGTATGGGCTTAGCAGCTCGGTAAATGACTATTGAAAACCTATAAGTTAGTGTCCAACTGATATGAACATGCATCTCCTTTGGAGTAAAATATTCGAAGACTTTGTATCATATGGTTGAAAACAGGGGAATTTACATATATAGCATCTAAATCTTTATATTAACTTATATAACACCTATCTAACACCCTAGTGTCTAATTCACATCAAAACACATGCATGAAAATGTGTATTCATTTTAAATAAGCTAAAATTTAGTTTTATTTTTAATGTGATTTAAAAATTTGGGTGTTATTTAAGTAAATCTATAGATTTTGTTGTTAGATATTCGTACACATAAATTTAGTGTTATGTATTTATTATTTGAGTTGAGCTAGATGACTAAATTTATTATTTGAGTTGAGCTAGATGACTATTTGCTTATTGTATGTTTGCATGACTTCATAAGTCAAATATTCACGTTTTATTTCTCAATTGAACGTTGTTTTATCATTTTCAAGTCCAATGGCCCTTAACTTGAGCAGAGAAAACCAAAATAGGGATTGGAATAGTTACCTTAACCTTATGCGTCTCATTGTGATCTTGCGCTTGGGTTTTAACCCTGAAGCCCGCTTTTAGTCATGCAAGGCTGTGGTTGATCCGATTAGCATACATTCAAATTTTATTTACTTGTGCAAGCAATGTGGAGCTTTCCTTGCAGAAACAACTAGAAGAATGTATTCTGATTCATGCTAGGTCAATTTATGGCTGTGGGTAAGAAATGTTTTCCTAGCCCAAAAATCCGTTGGGTTAGTGCCATAGGGTCATGTTGGTGGCAAGCATATGCCCGGCTTATATTCTTTGGTGAGAGCTCTGGATAGACGCTAACATATGCTGTTTGGTTTGATAAACCACTGCTGCTGCTTCATCTTTTCTTGCCACAGTTTAATTTAACTTGAGGCATATTTTGGTTTGAATTCTTGTTAATTCCTTACATTTTTTAGTGAATTTCTCTCTCTCTCTCTCCCCCCTGCATTTGGGCTCACTGGCTATCCAATCATAGCAAAGAGCTTAAGACATACGGATTAAGGCATTTACTATTGGATCAATTTCTCTATGGCTCTCAGATTGCAATTCGCCTTCTTGTTTAAAGAAAGGATAACAAAATAAATTTGTAAGAGTTTATCTTCCTTGTTTTATTTTCTACATGGTATTAAAGCGAGTTTAGGGTTTTCTTTTCAACCTTTGTTTTCCTTCTCTAGGGTTACGATTTTTATTTCTAACCTTAATTATTTTATCATAATCTCCTTCTATTCACTATGCCTAGATTTTTCGACATTCTGTCAAAGGAATCAACCATGATTAAGGGCGAAAATTAGACCAAGTGAGAAATTCAGGGATTTCTAGATTCTTATCATTTGAATGGAAATAATTACTTTAAATGTTCCTACAATTTGAAGAAATTTCTAAAAGAAAAGGGAAATATCCAACAATTTATTGATTTACCTCCTGAGCCAATGACTCCAAGTTCATATTTTTGGCAAAAGTTGATTTCATGCTAGTGACATAGTTGTGGAATATCACACTAATAGAGATCAGTGAGTCATTCATGTTTCTCTCCACTACAAAAGAGATTTTGGATGTAGTTAAACAAACATACTTTAAGGCGAATGATGTTGCAGTCATATACAAAATCAAGACAAAGCTCATCACTATCAAACAATATGCGGGAAAATCAACGAAAATAATTTGTATTTCTCACCTTTCTTGAATTGATCATACAAGGTATTATATAGGAGATTAAAAGGAGAAAAACAAGGAAACTATTTAACTATTTCCCTTAGTTTAAGGGATTACAAATTTATTCTAATTTCCTTAATTTAAGGGATTTACCAATTAATTCTAATTTTCTTAATTAAGTAAATTAGAATTAATTCTCACAATTTTGTTTCCATCTCAGTCATATCTCGACACTCCCCCTCAAGCTGAGGAATGGATATCTTCCATTCCCAGCTTGGATACAAGATCATAGAAACTTGAACTGTTCAGCCCCTTTGTTAGAACATCGGCTAATTGTCTTTCTGATGGAACATAGGACATACACACTAACCCTTCCTCTAGTTTTTCTTTGATGAAATGTCTATCAATCTCAATATGTTTTGTCCTATCATGTTGTATAGGATTATGAGCTATATTAATGGCAGACTTGTTGTCACAGTAGAGCTTCATAGGACCCTCCCATGGGATTCTTAAATCATTCAAGATGATTCTCAGCCACAGTAATTCACATAATCCTTGAGCAATAGCCCTGAACTCTGATTCTGCAGATGACCTTGCCACTACATTCTGCTTCTTGCTCCTCCATGTCACTAGGTTACCTCCAAGAAAAGTACAATATCCTGTAGTT